ACTCATGTGGTGACACCACGGAATACGGCTTATACTACAGAGGCAGTGGTGGTCAAACACTTGAAGCCTTTATCATGCCTTCCGCCTTCAATAGTCATGTTTCACAGCCAAAGAGTAGAACAGGGCGGACTGCTGTGCAGTACACGCGACCCTTAATAGACAAAAGGATACCATGGCGGCGCCATATGTGGCGTAAGTTGGCGAAAGTCAGTTGAGCCTTTTGTATCCATGTGGAGATTTCATCGGCCACTGAGCCATTAGGGTAGGGTTGCTCCTACTTCGCAGGTAAGTGAAGTGGTTGACACACTCAACTACTAAACTCTCTATTGTTAGCTGTGGCAGCGTTGAAGACCAATTCTGGAGCAACAATTTGCATTTGGTGCTGTTGGTGAGAAGCGCATCCCAAACATTCTCAAATTGACACTGAAAGTGTTCAGCAGACTCTGCATCTTGTCGGCGTCTTCACCTAACAGGATTATGTCATCTGTACATACTAGGTCTAACGAAAATTCTCCTGTGATTAGGTTAACGTCTGTGTAACCTGGTGACGAGAGGGAGACCTCCATGAGAATATCTATGATGAAATTGGATAAGAATGGAGAGAGTAAGCAGCCTTGATGGACACCACTCGATGAGCATAGCTCCCTGGACATCTCAGCATAGGCTTTAACACACCCACAAGTGTTGGAGTATAGAGCCTTCAATAAGGTGATGATCTAAATTGCAGATCTTTTTCATTAAGTATTACCATGGTATGTCGTCCAAAAAAATATTACCGACATGCTTTCCGTTTAGTGGCAGGTATTTCTTTTTATGCCGCCCAGCAAACATATAAACCTGCATAATGTAGAAAATTCGAAATTTTTGCCAGACAACATAAATTATCCATTGAAGATTTTATCGGTTTAAACATTTAATTACGGACGAGTTAATGCAAAAATTACTGCGTTTCCTCGATGCGAAATATAATGAAAGTTTACCAGCCTTATAGTAATGCGAATGCTTATTCTACACTTCTGAACAGTTCGGCATGACGTTTATCCCTAGGCATTATAGGTTATTAACAGACAGTCCAGTTGTTATCTGGTTTCTTTCCAAAATTTATCGTAAAGGATATTTATACTGGGACATATCAACATCATTGACATTCGATAAAGTCTTCTCATTTGACTGACATTCACTTAACTATCCCTTAACTGTGTAAAATTTCATATACATGCCTATGACAAGTACGTTTAGATTCAGATTTTTCAAAATGTTCGAAATTTATGAAGATAACTGATTGCTTTTTCGTTTTGTCCTACTTGGGACAACCTGGGTTGTGACATAATTAAAAATAGTAGGTTGTATTTATCGCGGACATGCGTTTCTTTCTATTTGAGACTCGTCAGATGAATGTACCTGCATCCCAGTGAGCGATGTTGTTCCTACCGAGACTCCAACGCTGAAGTTATCCATTAGGCTACTGGGGTACAAGAGCCACCACTTGTGCAACAGCCATAACAATGGAAAATCACAAGTGTAAAACAACATGTGATACATCCAGCTGACGAGTCCAAAATAGGACGAATCCACTGCTAGTCACCAGGATAAATGCAAAAACATTAGAATAACTTAATCAATATGCAGATAATAGTATGAAATTCCTATTCCTGGAAATTAGCTTTTCCTTTGTCTTCAGCTAACGATTAAATAGTTCATAAAAGAATTGAGATCTTTTATATGTAGTTACTTTTATTTTAGATTAGTCAAATTGATATAGGACAGTGAAACAGAGTTTTATTTTACTAGTGAACACTGTAGTTATAGTTTGTTTTGGTTTTCTTTGCTTCTTAGTTGTCACATCCAAAAACAATGTTTCTGTTATCTTTTGGAAAATAAACCAGTATTATTCCGAAGCATACAGACTCCCACCATACTAGAACTCATATAGTCGTCAAGGTAGGGGAAAGGGTGTCATGTGAACTAGCGATAGCCATTTACTAATTAACTTCATCTCTGACACCAGTGAAATATTTGGCTGCCTATTAAAGCATGAGTGTGCTGCACTCCAGTCTTCTCTGTCCCATTATGTAGCTGAGTAATGTAGTGCTTTAAAGTAGAATATATGGAGAGATTAAACGTTTTGACCAGGAGCACCTTCATAACATTGCTTGTGTATGGTGGAATCACCGTGTAAGTGACAGCAAGATAAGATGGAGGGTACTAGCCAAGGAAGGGAAGGTAGTTGATCAGATGGTGTACCTTCAGTGACTGAGATGACTTAAGCATGTAGTGAGCATGCTGAGCTACCACTTACCTTGGTGCATAATGCTAGGAAAATTTGGATCACGTTTGAAGAAGCCTCAGGGTGGCGAGACTAAAGCATGGACCAGTGCGTGAAGTCTCTAACTGCTGGTCAGAGTCTTGTAAGGATTTATAAACTATATGGCTTAGGTCTTCAAGACCATAAGAATCGATGGTTGTAGACTCTTCGCGATATGGCTGAAAATCAGTTACAGTAACGTAGGCATATTCACACTTTGATATCTCTGAAGTTTTGATAATTTCATTAACACTCACCTTTAAAATTCCTTCTATTCTCATACACTTTTTATTCATTTTCGTATTAATATTTTACTGTCCTCTTGTTTTTTCCGTACTCTGGTGAAGTGTAGCAAGTTAGACTGAAAGATTTCTACGCCTTTTTTTTCACGCTGATTCATCTGTTTGTCTATGCAAACTTCCTTATCTAGTATCATTTAAAATTCATAATTGTCATGTTATCTTAAATGAAACTTCATGTAAGAGTTTAATTTTTATCAAAGCTTTATTTCAAGGTTGGCTTCATCACTTAGAGGTGTCTATTATCTGATAGTGAGTAAAAGTGCTTGCGTGCACCGTCTCAAATTCCATTTGGGCTGTTATATATATATATATATATATATATATATATATATATATATATATATATATATATATATATAATGTCATAGTGAAACGCATGATAAATCATTTACAATGGAATTTCACTCAACAGTAATGCACAAATTCATCTCTCATGTAAATATCTCAAATTCCTTATGATTTTCGTTTAGGTGAATAACTTAATTCAATAATGTGTCATTACTCTGTGAATATTAACATACATCCACTTACCTGTTATTATAACTGTAATTGAGAGGAATGAATTGTCAATAGAAAACTTATAATCTGTAAAAAAAGTAGTTGTAGAGTCCGACATTGACGCACAAAAATACCATCATTTCAAACTTACCTATCATCAATAAAATATCTTAAAAAAATAGCTACTTAGAAAGGTTGTTAAGAAAACAATTTTCTTGTCCACACATAGTTCTTAAGATAAAAGTTCAAGATATTGGAGAATGATTGACAACAATGATGAATAATTACGAAATTAAGACGGATTGAAGGGAAATTAAAACCAAAGAAGGAACTTTTCTTTCCCCCATCATTTTGTCTTCTTAAGATAAACAATCGTGTTTCTATCGATAAAACACTTAAAGCATCAGTGTCTTATTGAGTGATATGGTAGCGGGGTAACACTAACATCATAATCCATTCGACTTTACAAATTACTTGATTTGCTTTCATATTTCTTATAGTTTTGTAGTTTTTCCAACTGCTCAATTTTGACGTCAATACGGCTTCCGTTCAAAACCGGTTTAAGTAACTGGATATCATTCTGGCTGAAGCATAAATTTCACTAGCCAGATCACAGTGATCTAAACACCAGATGACTGTTTCATCTATTTGAGGCTGATCTTATCAGCATTGTACCCAGATAAATTCAGTTCGTAGATCTGATTTCTCAGATCAACTGAATTTGGTTAGCTGAATTGCATGGACCGGTATTCCATACTTTGAATAGGATGGTCAGTTTACAAATGATTTACAAACAGCACTACTGTGTGACTTGAACTTATTTGCTACACCGCTGATGAGCTCTGCTTCAAATGAGGGAAACGGCCATCCAGTGTTTAGATCACTTTATTCTGTCTGACAAAACTCTCACATCAGCCTTAATAGTGTCTGACTTCAGTTGTTCATTAGTATATTTTGATATATTAGAGTCCCCTTAATTAAATGTGAAGGTGAATAAAAGAACAAGGTTCATAACAGTGAACTATTTATTCATAACAAATTAGAGAAAAACAAAGTCAAGTGGAAATCTTATGAGCAATCATGTGCACCTTCATTGCATTGGTTAATGAGACATGCCAACTGTTTGAGTGTTAATGATGCCCCTTAGACAACTAGACCATTATAGGTGGAGCTGGATTCGTAGGTATTACTTAGCGTAGTTGAATGTCGTAGAAGAGTTGAATCAACTGAATGTTCCTGAAGATAGACGGTTTAATTAAAAAGCTAATGAAAGTAGAATGTAACATGTTAGTGAATAGATAAAGATAGAAGAAACTGCGCAGACATTGATGTTCATAATAAGGATGCTATGACAATGCTTATTTCCAAAAATGTTAAAGTCACTGTTATAAAAACACGATGTATTCAGTGATTTGTTTTGAAGTTAACATGGCTGTATGCCTATGGAACTGTCAGATATCTTCCTTTAAATATCATCAATATAATGATATGTTCTCACATCGAACAATATGGAGCTATGAATAACTTGTTTAAAGAGTTGGATTTCAACCAGTGGATGGCAGGTTCGAATAGCGCTTCGTATACCAAGGTTTAAGCAGACAGGTAACATGTTATTGGTCGTCACATAATAAGTTTGGCTGACTACCTACTGTACGATTGCGTACGTCACTGAACAGGCTGTTGTCCTCCTCTGAATATTAAAATCCAACATTTTGTTTTGATCATATTCAGTTGATCCAAGTCGACTTAATCACTTAATATTTTATTTTCACTTTATTGCTTTTCTAAACAAATTTGTACAGAGATACTGTTCAGTTAAACAGCGTATACGTATATGTTATCATTATGCATGAAATAAAATATTTTTCATAATCTTTATCCTTTACAAACTTTAGAAAACTACAATTCGCCTCAATTGCCATTCAATCCAAGATATTCATATGTACCAAAGTGTTCTGAAAGATTTACAATTCATTCACCTGAAATATATCATATGAATGCTTTGAAAAATCCTCGAGATTATGCAAGCAATTTAAACAAACAGTTTAGATCAGTTGACTGTGGACTGAATAAGAACTATACTGAATTAATTAATGATAATAGATTATTTATATCTGATACACTGCAAGAAAGAACTAGTAATAATAATAATAATATCATTGAAGATGATACATCTCAAGTTGGTCGTAAACATGTTAAATTTTCACCGAATAATAATAATAATGATATCGTTATATCGAAGACAAGAAATTCTGAGCATAAATTGAGTAAGTAATATACACTTAAAATTTCAATTTCTTTTCAAGTATCAAATTATATATTTTAACTGTATAAAACAGTTATGGTTTAGTAGACTTCTAGATATACTGGATGATGATTGAAAATGAAAAAAGAAGGTCTAACTACTGCAGGGTTCGAAGCAGCAACCACTGATTTTCTGATCAGGTGATCGCCATGGCCGACATTTTAATTTCACCTTTAATTATCACTCAGTATAAATATCAAATTACTATTCTTCGTTTTTTTTTACAAAGTACCAATAGTCCACTGTAGACAAACACTATACAGCCTTTTATAAAATGGTTGGTAGTGCTGTACCAATTAATTAATAAAACTATAGTATTAACTGTTAAATAATGTTGAACACGTTTTGCATAACACTGATAATATTCTATTGTCAGATGATGAAATCAAATAGATGGAAGGGAATTAACTAACTATTTAGTTTTACATATTAATCATCATATGATATGATACATATGTCTGTAAGAAATTGACTTTCCTGTGCTATAAACTTAGATGATGACTCTATAATGTAAAATAAATTCTTGCCTTTTTTTATTGAGAGAAAAAGAGAGAAATACTTTCTCAGCATGCATTATATTCATGTGATGAAAAAGAAAATAAGGTGGTGATATAAATTGGCTAAAAAATATACAGTACATAGATAATAAATATCATTGATATTGTAATCTGTTAAAAAGCTTGTGTTTTATGTAATGAAATGCCTTCTGGCCAAAAAACCTCCAGTGATTAGTCTCCGTTTGCCTTGATAATGAAGTCAACACCTTATTTCTATTAACTATACTTAAGATTTATTATTTCTAACTGAAATTTGCCTTTTTTATTTCATACTTGTGTTATTATCTTACGCTAATGAATACTAGCATAATCATGTTATTTCTTAAATTTAGGCCTGAATTAATGAACAGGTGAAACTTGGGCAGTGAGGAAAATTATGATGATATGAGTATGAAAGTGATGAAGATCAGCTTGCAAAGTTAGGTTGCAAGATTAGACGGAAACAATATTGAAGTTTAGCTGTTGCGTCATCCCTATTACATGTGTTGAGTGTTAGCTGATTCGATGAACGAAGAATTGGTGATCAATCTTTCTCTCTTCCTAATTAGATTGAACTTAAGTGGAGTGGTTTTATCTCACCAGCCCTATTGTTTGATTATGTGTTGATACACGCATTACAATAAACGAGTGTTTTTCTAGATTATTCATCTTATTCTGGTCCGTCATTCTACAATTAATTACCTAGATTTCTATTCTAACTGACCCCCGACTGGCTAGTTTCACCTATGTACGGGACCTCGTAGTCGCTTTGTAGAATCCGATAGATTGTATTATTTTGCCTAATTGGTTTGATCGCATCCTTAAACCATACGATAAAGCTTATCAGTGAGTGAGTTTTAGGTTTAAATGCTACGCTAATTCCAGCATTGCTGAGAATCCTACGTAAAGTTTCTGTTGTACCTTCCTTATAGTGTAACACAGTGGAGGCTGTGAATTCCTTTCTATTCGTGTTGTCGTTATTATTCGTATTCGTGTCACTGTTATTACTTCGCTTTTTATATGTTCGTGGGAATTTCTAAATAAACTGCAGATTGGCACACATACATTCACTCTTCAATGTCTTCTAAAGCTTACATATCCGCACTAACATTTATCCTCAGATTGTTCATTCTTTCACACTACTTTATCTATTTTGATATCAGACTTTTTGCTATCCCCTTATTCTTTGTTTACTACTGTGAAGTATGGTAACTTGAGATGATGCAGTTGTGTGTGAGATTCTACGCTGATTTTCTTCAAGTCATTCTTTTACTTATTTCTCCTTCCCTCCTAATATCGCTTAGCACACACATAAAAAATTCATTAAGCAACCTGGCATAGAAGAGCACCAATTCCCGTTGTCACACTTTAAAGCAATATGCAAAAAAGAAGTGGGCAGAAAAAGGGTTCAGATATAAGTTTATAACCCTTGAAACCCTTAGTCCAGCGTCCAAGATATGGTTTAAATACGTAGATGGCACATTTATACTACTGAAATTAAAGCATATTGTCAAGTTATTTACACAGATAAGTATAGTAGTAAAAGCAACTAAATGTACTTCTGAACCAACATTTAGACTTTAGATTAAATCTTCTTGTGTTAGGTAAGGTGGCCTTTTGTTGCTTATATCATCCCAGGTTCGCTTTTTGGCGGGAAAACCAATACTCACTGCGAGGCAGTTACATCCACCTGACGAGTCCCAAGTAGGACGAAACTCACGTCCTGGATTTCACTACTAGCTATTATCAATCATTACTATAAAGTGTCCTTGTTAAATTTTTTTCGAATTAACGGGGTAAAACAGCATACACGAGGCGAAGAAAATACTAGACGAGAAATCAGACTCATTAAGAATGCCGTACATTTCAACAATAACCCACGTAGATTCACCAATAAACTGTTGATAAAATTGTCAGGAAAATATCACCAGTAGTGGTAGGACAGAATGGGAAAATCAGTGGTCCCTTTGAAGTGAAGACAGGAAGAAGTGAGACTAGGCTGCCGCCTACTATCACCGATGATCTTCCTGGTTGTGGTCGACTGGAATGGATCATGCAACCAACTGCGAGGAGCATGAAATTGAGCGTAAACTGTTTGACCAATGAAAAGACTTTAGAAGATTTGGATTTCGCCGATGACGATTTATATCTTATGTCTTGTCTCATGAACTCGAAGTTCTACGGGCAGAAACCAACAAGTTGGCAGAAGAGGCGAAGCAGCGAAGGAAGACGGGACTTCAAGTGAACGTTGAGAAGACAGAGGTGATGAAGATGCTCAACTAACAACAACATCAAGAACAAGCACCAATCAGCGTCAACAGAGAAATCTAAAGGGAGTTGTCTTTTTCACATACCTGGCTAGGCAGCATCGTTTCAACTACAGGTGGCACACATGAGGACGTCGAAGCCAGGATCGCGAAGACACTAAGACAGGTTTTCATCAGTCTGAAATAATCAGTGTGGAGATCTACTGCACTGCATTGCACTGCACTGAGTATAAGGCGTGAACAAGAACCGGATTTTCAACACTAGTGTGAAGTAAGTCAGTGCACCTATGTGATGGTTGAGAGACTTGGGGCGTTACGAAAAGCATTTCTAACAAACTGTAGACATACATCACATGAACAGCTGTCGCTGATGCTCACTCGATACTGACGCTGAAGATCAGATGAGTCGCTAGAATAATAAGAATAAGAAAGAAGGGACTTTGGCTGCTGGCTGGCTGGCAACGAACCAACCAAGAAGCCGTCGCCCAACAAATATGCAGGAGAAGGAAGTGGAGATGGACTGGACTGGATTGGATTGTATTGTATTGAGCATACACTGAGAATGCTGATTGATTGGGGACATCACGTGCCAGGCGAGGCCAGGTCATGCCGGGCGAAGCCGTCGAGTGTAATCTCAATGGTAAATGACGAGTTTGGCGTTCAAGGCGACGGTGCCATTTAGGAGATGGTTTTAAGAAGAAACGAAAGCTTGTGGGAAGTGGTGGAGCCAGGTTGAAAAGACCGGCGACGTTCTTCTGAAGTCTTCTGTTCCACTACGTACTCAAGAGACAAGAGTGTGTTAATAAATTGTTTATTTTTAAGTTTTAAATTCACAAGAAATGAATGACATTTTTTGCTTTATCGTATATATTTGGCAGAGCACCATAAGTTATTTGTCTTGGTGATATAAAGACTGTTAGTTTTATATAACCAGTTGATAAATGATTGTATGTATTAGAAAATAATAGAAGGAAGAATGATAAATTTGTGCAACCTACATACACTTCATTTTTATAAATTTTCTGATATCTACTGACTTCTTTTTAACTTTAGATGTACCTATACCTGGTACTAGACAACATCACTATCTCCAAGACTCATCTTTTGCCCGATTACATATTTCACCAATAAATAATTATTCTAATTATCAAAAAACAACTTTTAAAGAATCTTTACCATATGAATCAGATATAACTCATCTGTCCAAAATGAATCACAAAAAATCCATAGCGAAGGTAAATTTAACAAGTGAACATAGTCATTCATATTTATCAAAAGAAAATGATGAGGATTATAGTTTGCAACAACATAAATCATTTCCACTGAATCAGCGTTCAATAGAACCACTTCAATTTACTGATAATACTACTGGAAATAATAAAAGTAAACTGAGGATAATTCCAGATAAACAGAATTATAAATCTACAAAATTATTTACTGGTGCAAGTTCTGATCATTCATTTTCCAGAAAATCATCATCATTATACTTGAAACCTGGTAGTAAATTGAATTCATTACTGAATCTATATGATACAAGATTTTTACAACAGAAAACTAATAATCCACCTGGAATATTTCAGTTACGTAAAGCTGCATCACAGTCTTGTATCTATGATAAAGCTTTTAAATGCGAAGATTTGAGCAGGTTAGCTTGTATACTTTTATTCTTTTTTTTTCTTATACATTTTTAATTACTTGGTACAAGTCTGTACTAAAATTATTCACGAATAAAACTGCATGAGGATAAAATAAGTAAAATAATGAAAAACATGTCAAAAGATTATTATGAAAATTTGAGTTGAGATCGAGTGAAGCCTGTTTTCTTCTAACGCAGTCAGAAGAATGGTAATTTACTCAGTATAAATTGTTTTTATTATACGATTTTCGACATTAATTTTCTGCCTAGTGGTAAAGTAGTTACAATGAATCACATAAATTAGTGTAAAGTAGAATGTGAATCAATTACCTGTAAGTTCACGATTCAGTGTCTGGGTTAATAACTTGTACACATGCAAGCACACATACATGCGCATTCGATGTAGTTCAAATCGGAAGAAGATTTTCATCGTAGACTACTGCAGTCGTCAACCATTAAGAACTACATAGCTTCATCAATACCCATTAGTTCATTTCGAGTTACATATGCTTCTGATTCTCAAATGATTATATAGACTGGATCACCGTAAAACACCACTCAAAGCATATGGACAAATACCGCTTTATTTATATCACAAATATTTATATGATGCCAGGTTAGATTTTCTCCTAATTATCTAGTTTCTGTGATATTGTTATTATATTAATTGTCCCTTGGATTCCTAATAGAACATAGGGCATCAGTAGCACGTCTCCAATGAGCTGTTCTCTGAAATCTTTTGAACCTGGCTCCACGACAGCCCACAAGCTCTCATTTCCTCCTCGCACGTTCTCCTCTATGTCACCTTCGGCAAAGACGCCCAACTCGTCACTTCCCATCTGGATTCCACTCGAGTACCTGACGCGTGATGTCCCCAGTCGGCCTTCTCAGTGTATGCCCAATCCATCTCCACTTCCTTCTGCATATTTGGTGTTTATGTGATATATTAACAGAATTCACAGCCCCTTTACTTTGTGGTTCCCTGTCGATCTGCGTTGATTTTAATTCTTGTTACCAAAACCTTTTCATAACAATATATATATATATATATATATATATATATATATATATATATAAAAACCATTATGCATGTTTTGCTCAAAATATATGGCAAACCACACAAAACTGGTTTCATATATTGTTATAAGAAAGTCGTACATAGAAACTGCTCACAAAATGACAATTTCAACTAAGAGGTATGCTACAATGTAGAGACTGGAATATATTTGACAGCAGTGTTTTGAACGACATTAATGATGTGATACACTATCTCAAGTTTCGCCTAGATATCTGTTTCCCCAGTGAAAACTTATTTCGACGCTTCTACGGTATATCTTCTCAATTTAACAGGTTAGAAGAAGAAAAAGAAAACGTATATAAATTAAGTAATGACGCTGGTGCTCTTCTGTTGAACGTTTTATTTAGGTTAGTAATTATAATTCGGAGTCTACTTTATAACCATAAAGCTTCTTCATACAAAGGCTCTTCCAGAATGTTAAAAATTTGTTAAGACCTCACCGGTACTTAACATCTTATTGAAGAAGTATGTGCTGATATCTGTGCTTAGAACAAATCGTTTATACGTGAAACCACCTGTCCCATTCCACTCTGTCCATCCATTTTCAATGGAAAATGTTGTACAAAACTCACCGAGAAAGATGTTTTTAAGTGTCTCAAATCCCTGAAACCTTCACATAGTTTGCGTCCAGATGACATTTCAAGTTTCGTATTCACGAAGTGTGCTGATATGTAAAGTCATCCACTAACTCACATATTTAACAGATCGTTTTAGAAAATGCCGTATCAGTTACCTGGAAAGATAATATAGTACTTCTATTTAGATTCTTGGCTCTAGGCACATGTTTAAAATTCAGTCTAATGGGAGTTATTTCTCCATTATTGAAAATAACGGAGAAGATATTAGTAACTATGCTTGAACCTTCATTTCAGACTTTTCGAGATCCTAACCAATACGCGTACAAAACTTGAAGAAGCACTATGGATGTCACTACTGTCTTATATCACAATATTACTTACAATGTTGCTAGAAATGCCAAGTACGTCAGATGTGTCTTTCCAGACTATATTTCAGCATTAGATTCTATCTCAAGACCTTTTTTGGTGGACAAGGCAGCCACGACAAATATTAGTAAGGATACTCAACTGGCAGTAATCATATTTCTCTGAAAGGAAAGAAAATATTGTTCACGGACGGGTGCTCCACTTTACTACTTACATAGACTGGTGTTCCGAAGATGTCTTCTTTATATTTGGTCTTTTTCCTTCTGTATGACTCACCATGTTAAGTTGCTATCAATTTTATCAAATATGCTGATAACCTAACAGTTCCCATATCTGTCCCCTCCTCAACAGACTGTTCCCAAATAAACCATTTCCTATACACCACATGATGATGGTCTTCCATAATTGGTCTTGTGCTTAGTTCCTCAAAATGTCAGATTATAAACTTTAGTTTAAGACGTGAACGTGACCTGTGTAAGCTGTTAAGTTTCATGCTGATTCCTGTTTCATTGTTGGTTGTTTTTTAGATAATATGACAACTCTGATTTGCCTTGGAGTGTGTTTATCCTCGAACCTTTCCTAGTTCTTCCATATCTTACTAATTTCTAGAAGATCCTTCTGTGTAACTTTCTATATTGGGAAGTTGAGAGTATCTGGTATAGCTCGTTCTCTTCTTATGTGTGTAATCAACTCCTACATCTTATCTATTCTCCTTTATTGTTCCTCCTTATTCTTTCCTGGGTTGCTAAAAAAAGACTATACTATATTGCGTAGAACTTTGTAAATCACCAGCAGAACTAATAGTGTACGCCTAAACCCACTAGCTGAAACCGCTTATTGTGGTTCCTTCTTAAAAGTGTGCTGTAGCGGCCGCCTGTTTCTAGCTAACACAGTTTTCAAATTTCATTAGTGTAATTTTGTGTTCAATGAGTGTTAATTCGAACCTAACAGTGAATACAAATAGTGCATATTGATAAAAGTTATCAAAGAAATGGTTTAGTACTAGTTTACTTCTTTCATTGCATATCATACCTAACCAGTTATTACTCACTGTTTGGAGTACGTGCGCATGTAAACCTCAGTGGATGTAGCAGAAGAATAAATGATAGACCTCTCTGAGTACCATTTTTATATAGGAGTATGAAAACGTATTCAAGGTCACAGTTAGCCTAACAAAACAAGGAGAACTATCCCAAGAGAGCTCCAAGTGGTTTTAAAAACAATTGAATGGTACTGGCAACCTTTATCAAATAAAAGTATCCACTGAGATGTATTTTCGAAGACGTCAAGCATAGCAAAATAAGCTCAGGTGTGAACTGAAAAGGTCTTATGCAATGATCATGAGCGGTGATTGTTTGAAAAACAAAGAACCCAACGGTGAAAAACATTTTTATAGACCACCGTTTACAAAGGCGGTGATGAAAACGAAGAGGTGGCAACACTAAAGAACATATCAAGTGACGTCTAAGTGCTCATTAGTAGTTCATTGTGTAGTCACTGTGAGGTGTGTGAAAATCTGAGTATGTTTGGAATGCAGTACTCGTCTGTCGAATCCTAGATGATGCTTCTGAACACGTCTTAGTTTAAATATAAAGAATGAAAAAGTTGAATTTGATGAACGTTTCATTTAATTAGGAAGTTGCATCAACCTCGATAGCCTCATTTAGCATTTACCACCTTACGCCACTTATAGTGCCACATGTCAAAGTACAAGCATACTGTTCACGAGTGCACTGTTGTACAGCTTCGAAACCTGGCGCCTGACAGCAGAAAATGTAGAGAGGTGATACGTTTTAATTAAAGCTGTCTTTGTAGCATTACTGGCATGTGATATTATTATAGTGTGAGTAGTGTTACATTTGAGTATAGAGTACTAGGCAATGAAGGCAAATCCATAGCTAAAGTTATGAACATACGTCGGTTCATCGAAGTGCTTCGACGTAACTGAAACAAGTGACGTTTGCGTAAGTAGTATTACGATGGGAGGTGAAATATGGTAGACAGACCAAACCTGAGAATAATGAATGAAATTGTAACTGTTGGTTTGAGCTATGTGAGAAGGTATGTATGACATGACTCAAGTCCTCGACGTGATCGGAATCAGGGAATTATTATTATTATTATTAGTCCCTTGGGTTCCTAGTGGAACATAGGGCTTCAGTAGCACGCCTCCAGTGACCTCTGTTCTCTGAGATCTTTTGAACCTGGTTCCACGACAGCCCAGAAGCTCTCATTTCCTCCTCGCATGACCTCCTCCATGTCACCCTCGGACGTCCAACTCGTCGCTTCCCATGGGGATTCCACTCGAGGGCCTGACGCGTGATGTCCTCAGTCGGCCTTCTCAGTGCATGGCCAATCCATCTCCACTTCTTCCTGCATATTTGTTGCGTGATAGGTTCTTGGTTGGTTCGTTCCCAGAGTTCCTTGTTGCTTATTTTTTCTGGCCATCTGATCTTCAGCAGCGAGCGTAAGCAGTTGTTGATGAATGTCTGTAGTTTATTGGAAATGCCTTTCGTGACGCGCCAAGTCTCTGAGCCATACAAGAGCACTGACTTGACGTTGGTGTTGAAAATCCGTATCTTGTTCCGCATGCTGAGTGCAGAAGATCTCCACACTGGTTTCAGGCTAATGAACGCCTGTCTTGCTTTTCCGATTCTGACTTTGACGTCCTCGTCCGTCCCGCCTGTAGTTGAAACAGTGCTTCCTAGATAAGTGAAGGAGGTTACTTCCTTCAAGTTTCTCCCGTTGACGGTGATTGGAGTTTGTTGTTGTTGTTGATGGTGGTGGTGCGGTATCTTCATCACTTCTGTCTTCTCTATATTCACCTGAAGTCCCGTCTTAGCTGCCTCTTCTGTCAACTTGTTAGTTTTTGCCTGCAGATCTTCAAGTTTATGTGACATTAGGCATAAGTCATCGGCGAAATCCAAGTCTTCTAGGTTCTTTTCCGTCGTCCAGTGTATCCCCCTCTTCTCGCTGCCTACTGTTTGCTGCATGATCCAGTCCACCACAATAAGGAATATCATGGGGGATAGTAGGCAACCTTGTTTCACTCCTGTCTTCACTTCAAAGGCATCACTGAGCTTCCCATTGTGGATTACTTGGCATGTGGCATCTTCATATAGTTGTTGAATGAGGCGGATAAAGGTTTGCGGTACTCCGTAGTATTGAAGCAGTTTCCAAATTACTTCTCGGTCGACGCTGTCAAAGGCCTTCTCAAAGTCGATGAAGTTGAGGTATAGAGCTGATTGCCATTCTACGCTCTGTTCTATGATGATACGAAGCGTTGCAATTTGGTCAGCACATGATTTGTACTTCCTGAAGCCTGCCTGTTCCGGTCGCAGTTTTGAATCCAGTGCGTCTTTAAGCCTCTCCAGGATGATGCGGCTTAATATTTTACTTGGGGTGGACAGGAGAGTGATTCCGCGCCAGTTCTTGCAAGCACTGAGGTCTCCCTTCTTCGGCAGTTTGACAAGGTAACCCTTCTTCCAATCGTCAGGTACCTTCTCTTCCCTCCACACCTTCTGCAATAGTGGTGTGAGCATGTCCGCTGTTGTCTCTGCATCTGTTCTCAGTGCTTCTGGCGGTATTCCATCTGGTCCTGCTGCTTTCCCACATTTCAGTAGCTTTATGGCGTTCAGGACTTCCATTTTCGTTGGGGGATTTATGTTCACTTGTAATTCAGCGGCTGCAGGTGGTATTTCTGGACGAAGTGCAGGTGGTGGTCGATTCAAGAGCTTCTTGAAGTGGTCGGCCCATCGTTTCCTCTGTTTCTCTTCTTTTGTAATTAAATTTCCTTCTTCATCTTTTATTGGTTTCATCTGTGTTGGTCTCTTCCCTGATAGCAACCTGGTTATTTGATACAATGTCGTCAGGTCTCTCTTACCTGCAGCCTGTTCTGCTTCACTTGCCAGTGTTCGTAGAAGTGTCTTTTGTCTTTGCGTGCACTCTTCTTCACTTCTTTATCCAGTGTTTTATACATTGTGCTCAGTTCCTCTTGTCGTTGAGCATCCTTGCACTGGTTTATCTTCTGCTTCACCATCCTCCTCTCCTCTATCAGCTTCCAGGTATCCGTCGAGATCCATTCCTTGTCTTCTTTCTTCTTCCTTCCTAATACTGTTGTGCAGGTTTCTTTCCACATAGCTTTCAAAGACTTCCAGTGTTCTTCCACACAGGTTTCTTCAGGGATGTTCCTCGATGTCTCCATTTTGTCTTGATGGCTGCTTTGAAGATCTCCTTTGTAGTTTCATCCTTCAGTTTCCGAGTGTTGTACTTGAATTGAGGTCTATCACCAGCTTCCTTGAAGGCTTTTAACTTGATTTGGAAGGTTCCTTGCACTAGATAGTGGTCTGAACCTACATCTGCTCCTCTTCTTGACCTTGTGTTAAGTAGACTGCGTCTCCATTTTCTTGAGATTGAGATAAAGTCGATTTGATTTTTAGTGTGTCCATCTGGTGAAGTCCATGTCGCTTTGTGGATATCCTTGTGCCTGAACACACTGCCTCCAATCACCAAATCGTTGAATGCACAGAATTCTGCAAACAATTCTCCATTCTCATTCATTTCACCTAGCGCCTCTCGACCCATGGTTAGTTCTCTTCCTGTGTTGTCCCCTCCCAGTTTGGCATTCATGTCGCCCATTAGAATTTTGATATCGCCAACTGACGTCTTGTCCAGTGTTGATTGAAGTTGTCTGTAGAAATCCTCCTTTTTCTCTTGCTCTGCATTATTTGTAGGTGCATAACATTGTATGATTGTGACCTTTCTTCCTTTTGAGTTGAATCTTGCTGTCATGATCCTGGAGGAGATTGGTTCCCACTGCATGAGAGCCTTCGATGCTCTTGAGGACATCATGATAGCCACTCCCTCAGTGTGCTCGTGGTTGGCGTCTGGGTGACCGGAGTAGATTATTGATTCTCCAGTTGACAGTTTGGAGAGTCCACTCCCATTCCATCTGCTTTCGCAAATCCCAAGCACTTCGATGTTATACCTTCTCATCTCCTTTGCAATCTGGGCTGCCTTACTGGGTTCAAACATCGTGCGGACATTCCATGTCCCCACGTTTACTTTCGCTTTCATCGAGAGAAGACACATCGGCCAATTGGCTTCCCGAAGGCTTTCACCAACTGGCGTCATTTCGCCTCTCCGATTCCAGCGGGGAATAAGTTTGTTTTCATTTTTTATATTTTGTTTGTGCTTTGAAGTTTCTTTAGCGGTTAGATTTGTTTTACGGGGTAGGGTTGCTAGCCCTATGCCCAACCTTCCCTCTTTACCCGGGCTTAGGACCGGCTAGTAACTAGTAAACTAGTTAACCAGGCGAGGTTGGAATCAGGGAATAAAGATACTTTATGTCATTCATTTTGAACTTTTATAAGGCTTATCGAATTCAAGTTGGTATTTATCATAAACTGACACCAGTTGGAGAACCACTGAAAACCCGTTAGCAACTTGGTTTCAGTACATCCCCATAAGGTCGTACTACTACGCGAACTGAGAGAAGTGGGAAAATGTGAAGAACCTGGTTCTGAATAAGCGGTCCAGCGAAAACACGCTCACTGAGAAACGCGAAGGTGTTGGGTTTAACCTCTAGCAGGGTCATGGGCGGGCACTGCTGGGGAGTTTCATACTAAGATGAAACCGCTAGCTAGTCTTCCCAAGTTTTCAATGGTTTTCTAACTAGTAACAGTCCTTGATGAGTGCTTTGGTGTCAACCTGAACATTCTTAATTTTTATTAAAAGATTCGAACATTTAGATTTGGATTTGTGTTCAAATAATTATGATTTAAACTTTTTCCCAACTTCCATATTAGATTCATTTACTTGGTTTATACACACAGTGATATAGTATTATTTATGTGATGACGTTCCGAACATAAAACGAAGGACGGACGGTAGTTTAGATACTTCCCTCCACAGAAAACCGCCATATTCCAGTCCAATGTCAGTTAAGGCAGACTTAGTCAAATGTCTTGATGATAGAGCTGGAAAACTGACTAGTCAATGCAAGGACCTATATAAGGAATTGAAACACGTAAAAGAAGCGCTAACAGTTAATAATTATCCTCTACAGTTTATCAAGAAATCACTACTGACACACTAGAAAAAAAAATAACACTAGTACGCATAATAACAATAAGGCATGTAGGAAGGAGTTCACAGCCTCCGTTGTGTTACACTATGAGGAAGGTACATCAGAAACTTTATGTAGGTTCCTCAACAAACTTGAAATTGATGTGACCTATAAACCAAAAAACTCACTCACTCACTCACTCATAAGCTTGGTCGGCTCACTCAACCATTCGATAAATCCAATTCAACAAAATAATACAATCTATGAAATCCCATGGAATGACTGTGAGTCACGTCAAGTATATATATAGGTGAAACTAGCCAGTCGAGGTCACTTACAATAGCTGAACATAAAAATCTTGCTCAAGTAACATGAATAATGTAGAAAAACACTGGTCTACTGTAATGCATGCAATACATTGGCATTGTTGACATAAAACTGCTTTACCTAATTCCAATATTAATTGGATGGATATTGAGAAATATTGTATACTGAATGTTGGTTCATCGAATCAACACTCAACCCAACACATGTAACAGGAATGATACAACACCTATATCAGAGATGTGGGAAATTTTTACTACCAATAAAAAATAAAGAATAAGAGTTGACTAGACTATAAAAATTAGATATCGAAAAGGAGTATGATCACATTGAAATGATAATGAGCGATGATAATTTATGCTGGTTGGTAACTTCGTCATCAAGTAAATAATCTTGTATCACTGTGTAGTGTGTGTGTGTGTGTATTATATTTATATTTTGTCTAACTTCTCAAAAATGTCTTTTTAATCTTCCATATGTTTTATATTCATTCTTTATTCACATTTCTCATAGTTACACGTATGCTTATTTCTTCTTTTTTTTTTTCTTTATTATAGACATGATTATTCAGAAAATAATTTATCTATTCAACAAGAGAATGATTATAGTAGTAGTATAAGATCTTCAATTGAATCACTTGATCAAGAAATTTTAGATTTATGCTCTAATGATTTATCATTACAATCAAATAATATTAATAAAAATATTATTAATGATCAACAATGTTTACATGGTTTAAGTCAAATAGTTAATTCACGTTTTCTTGATCGAGTTCATAAACTACCTAAACATATTGAAGTTGATAAAGAAAAAGACTATGAAAGAAGTTCAAGTTCAACAAGTCATTTAAGTTTTTCAAGTGTTATAAACAATGAAAATAATTGTAATGTAGATATAAAACCAATAACTAGTGAAATACAAGATATTTATATACCAACTAATCATCCTACTGTTAGTTATCCTAATCATATTTCGACTAATGATAACAATGAATCAAATAAGTGAGTCAAAGTTGTATCATGACGACATTTGTAATAATAATTATTATTATTTTGTCCATTTTTATTCTCTTATTTAAACTCATAACCTATTAATTATTATTATTTGTCCCTTGGGTTCCGAATGGAACATTGGGCTTCAGTAGAACGTCTCCAGTGCACTCTGTTCTCTGCAAACTTTTGAACCTGGTTCCACGACAACCCATAAGCTCTCATTTCTTCCCCGCACGATCTCTTCCATGTAACCCTCCGTACTGATGCCCAACTCGTCACTTCCCATCTGGGTTCCACTCGAGGGCCTGGCTGGCTTGGCGTATGATGTTCCCAGTCGGCCTTCTCAGTGTATGCCCAATCCATCTCCATTTCCTTCTCATGCATATTTGTTGGATGATAGGTTCTTGGTAGGTCCGTTGCCAGCCAGCCAGCTAGCTAGTCAGAGTTCCTTGTTGCTTATTCTTATTATTCTGGCCATCTGATCTTCAGTATTGAGCCAGCGTAGTCAGTTGTTGATGAATGTCTGTAGTTTGTTGGAAATGCTTTTCGTAACCCGCCAAGTCTCTGAGCCATACAGAAGCACTGACTTGCCGTTGGTGTTGAAAATCCGGAGTAGATTACAGATTTGTTGATAAAACACTATGATTAGATGCTCACTAAGCTGTGAATTATCATCGACAGACTAAGTGACCAGCTTACATCAGAGAACATGTTTTTTTCGCATTGACTGGTTACTGAAAAGCAACCAATATCACATTGTATAGTCCTAAGTGGTGAATTAATTCTATTGATGGTTTCACGATTTGACCAACAAACTAGAAGGCCCATCATTATAGTACACTTTTGATTGATGTAAGTTGTTTGGAGGCAGTCGGAAAGAAACCCTGAACCAGGGTTTTGTGCTTTTGAAACTTATCAGCAAGGCGTATCTATAACCTCATAGGAACTGATATCCCATATGGCATTCGAAGCAGCATCACTCAGTGTTATAGTTCAAGGACGTTACCATTAAGTTGTTAATGGAAGTTCACCGCGAAGATGAGCCTCCTAATTTGATGGACATACTACAAAATGGTCGGTCACCCTTCAGGTCTGGACAGCATCTATCTAAACCAGGAGGACGGTTGCAGCCTGAATGGCTTGGTAGTAACATCACTGACTACAATACTGAGGGGCACGGGTTCCAATCTCTCAGGGTTTGGAACCCTTATATTGTCAGGTTTAATAAGTAAAATCATTGGGATAACACCTTGATATACTGACGATAATTCGTCATCATCACATTGAACCTACTGTTTTGATTCATCGGTTAAGTATCTAGTTGGAATATCCGATTCAGTACGCTAATAACTAAACATCAGAGTCACTGTAATTTCGCATATCTATACAGACTAAGGCAACTACAGTTTGACAGTAATAAGTGGCCTTACAAACCTATCTGTCTTCTATAACTTCATTGGTTGTACTGACTTTTCTAGTCCTAATGTGAATTATTCGTCATTTAGCATAAACAAAAGATGCAACGATTTAAGCTGATTGAAACTTAATTCAGCTTTCCTACTTTGTTGCTCTAAACTGCAGCATATAGTCACATAATGATCAATATTTATTTGTTTTAACGGTCATTTTGTCTTAATCATATTGTATTTATAATATTGGGAGTCATTCGGCTGGTAGCCATTGATTTAGTATTCCTACTTGTTGGGATTGACTCATCAACAACGTACCTCCGCAACCAAGAAGAAATTGATTTGCGCTCAGTACTCGAAACCTTCATCGTTCACTGTTGCAATTACAGATTCTATGAATAGCCAGGTTGAAGTGTTTTAAGGCTAACTTGGAGATTCATTTTTGTTCAAGTATATTCATAAATATTACCAGCGAATAAACTATTGAATGAAAGTTAAAAGTTGTGAATAGTTTTAACAATAGTAATAATAATAATTACTTTATTTCAAACAATATATATGACAGTGTGGAATTCTCAGTATATACTTTTTCAACTAATTCACTCCCAGAACAATACTTTCAGACGAAATGCTTACTGCATCTACATTATGTTAATAATAACAGTATTCAAGGCAATGGTGTGAAACAGTCAGCTGGTTCTGGATGGGCGTCCTGTCCATAATGAAGAATCAACAGAAATGCAAGCATAAGTTTGGTGGTGATGGTGGTGGTTCATCCAACTGGCACAAAAATCTGAAACTCAAGCTAAGCATCCAATGGATGGAAATATGATGTACTTTTTTGCACCGAAAATTCCATTTCCACATGACGTAACATTTTTTCCTCTGCTTTTGTTATCGTGTCGAGAAATGGATAGTTGGAAACAGTTTAAAAATGTTGAAGAGTACATGATACATTCATAGGACATATGTAAATGATTAAAACAAATTGAAAAGAAAGAATCTGATGAGAAGTGTTCAATGGACAAGTTTGGTAGCCCAAGGTTCGAGTAGGCTGCTATGTATTAGTTTACTGATTGCAACAGTTTTCTAAGATACTAAGCTTTACCTTTATGAGTATTTCATTTGTGCAACTAGCACACCCAAAATTTATCCTTGTCATAATAAAGTGAATAGATAAGCATTTATGATTCATATGTAATCTATAATTGCAGAAAATCACACTGCACAGCTATTATGTCAAACAACCTGGGTATTTTATTATGAGACTGATAAATTTAGGAAATTTGTTACTTTGATGAGTAAATGAATGCTTTATTAAAAGAAGTTAGTAAAATGATAACAAATGATAAATTCAACTTCTACAACCAGATATAAGGAAGCTAAGAGTGTCTGAGATAGCTGAGCTTCTACTCTCATGTTTCAATTATTCCTGTGTTTTGCTTATACTGACTTATTGTTCCTCCTTATTCTTTCCTGGACTCCGGAAAACAGACTGAGCTGTCTTTTCTTCAAGAATTTAAAACAATTAGTTCCCTCCATAAACTTCGACAAAACAATAAGAAGACATAAATTGTCTGAACCGTGTAATATACATTTGCGCGACACATTTCGAACTATCTGATCACACACGTACTTGTCATAGGTATTTATATAGAAACTCATGAAGATAAGGGGTGAGAAAATAAAAAAGGGTCAGGTAGGAAGGTTGACTTAAAGGCCGAACAACAATGAAAATCAATAGAGCGAAAAAATAATAGTACATCGAACTTGGTTTTCAATAGTTGAATTTACCAAGGAAGATTTAATGTTACAACAAATTGTTAATGAACACATAAAGGTGGTTTCAACTTTTTAATAGCTAAGGCTTCAACAAATTTCAGGATCCCTCCTCAACATGTTTTGTAAATAGGTGATCAGATAGTTCGAAATGTGTTGCGCAAATACATTACACGATTCAGACAATTTATGTCTTTTTATTGTTTTGTCGAAGACTGAGCTGTATTGTGTAGGATTTTGAAGGCTATGGTGATACACCACTGATAGTACTGATAAACATGATTGCGGATAGACATTTGAACCCTAGTAGACAGCTGGCTACAAGTATTTTATCTGATGACAAGCATCTTCTTGCATCTATCTCTCCTCAGGGAAGAAAAGAAGCAAATACATAAAAATTTGTACCCCCACAACTAAAGGATCAGTTTGTTTTGGATCGAAGTAGAAGCGCATTTGACTCAACCAATCGAACGAACGAGGTGAATTCACATCATTTCGTAGCAAACTTCGAATAACATCACGTTGGTGAACATGCTCAATAATAAGATGTTCCAATTTTTGTCGACGTACAGGCGGTTGTTCATACAAAACGCAATCAGCAAGTACATTTAGCATTTCTTCAACAGATGTAAGACACTTTTGAAGTGGACTGCCTTGTAGTGAATTACTTTGACCTTTCATAGCAGTTAAAGCATTGTCAACAGCTTCAGACCAGATGACTTGAGCAGCCAAAACAACCAGTTGAGCTTGGTATTTATCCAACCATGTCAAGAATTCAGACTTTTCGATATCTTGAGCTGTTTTCAACTTCTAAATTAGAAAAATTCAAATATCAATCATGATAATAACGGTGAAAACCAACAAGGCAATAGCATATTTTGGATACATGATAAAAAAAAAATTCGAGAAACAAATACAATAGCAGCATAACAGGCACATAAAGGAATATAAAATAGGCATAACAATTAGTAAAAACGCTTTAAGATAAATAACAACAACAACAACAACAACAAGAACAACAACAAAGGCTGGGGATATTTACAAAGCTAACAGAAAAGGCTAGCAAGATCAAAATAGGATGACAGACAGCATTCAAAATGATGCAAAGACAACGAGTTGAAAAACTTGGATGTAAAGATGAAAACACTGAATAAAATTTCAAGGATCTTCAAAATATATTTCTTTAAAATCAACTTACATGAGAATTGGGTCCATATAAATAACCGGATCTCTATATATATGACATACATATACACACAAATATACATTTAATTGATATGTTTACTTTAGACGAGATAAAAACACGCTAATTAGTGATATGTGATGAATTATCTCAGACAACTGATATTCTGAAACTAATTTAAAAAGAATTTAAACCAATTAGTTCCCTCCATAAACTTCGACAAAACAATAAGAAGACATAAATTGTCTGAACCGTGTAATAAATTTGCGCAACACATTTCGAACTATCTGATCACACATGTACTTGTCATAGGTATTTATATAAAAACTCATGAAGATGAGGGGTGAGCAAATAAAAAGGGGTCAGGTAGGAAGGCTGACTTAAAGGCCGAATAACAATGAAAATCAATAGGGCGAAAAAATAATAGTACATCGAACTTGGTTTTTCAATAGTTGAATTTACCAAGGAAGATTGAATGTGACAACAAATTGTTTATGAATACATAAAGGTGGTTTAAACTTCCTAATAGCTAAGGCTTCAACAAATTTCAGGATCCCTCCTCAACATGTTTTGTAAATAGGTGATCAGATAGTTCGAAATGTGTTGCGCAAATACATTACACGATTCAGACAATTTATGTCTTTTTATTGTTTTGTCGAAGACTGAGCTGTATTGTGTAGGATTTTGAAGGCTATGGTGATACACCACTGATAGTACTGATAAACATGATTGCGGATAGACATTTGAACCCTAGTAGACAGCTGGCTACAAGTACTTTATCTGATGACAAGCATCTTCTTGCATCTATCTCTCCTCAGGGAAGAAAAGAAGCAAATACATAAAAATTTGTACCCCCACAACTAAACTGTATACAAAAAGTCGTGGCGGCCAGCCTTCATTTTGATCTACCAAAAATATTTCATGCGTTATATTTTACCAGATTGGTTCTTTCTTATTTATTTTAACCATTCAAATGTCCACAAATCGTAAAACATACTAATGGGCACTCCTAAAAATTTTTTCAACTTGTATTTAGACGAGTTAACAACAAGACTACGAAAAAATATCACAGAAGGCGGCAGTTAGCCCCTATGCACAAAATAGTGTATCATATAGCTATTACAGGAAAATGTAGCTGGAAGAACAAATTTTCCTGCTGGATGAATGAACCTCTACAATCAAAACTTACATGTACTTTTATATCTTTTAACTGTCATGGTTATTTAATTTGAAAATATTGTGTAAATAGTAAATCTGTTGGAATATTACAATGAGACTTCCGAACTGTACTAACAATTATTGTCTAGTATAAAGTGATTATTATTATGATGATGATTTAGCCCATGTATTGTGAGAAGCAGTCTTATCAACCAATTTTTTTAAAAGCAAAGGGTTATAATGACATTGGGGTTATTCAGCATTTCAAAACTCTTGTTTTTCTTCATAATATACTGTTAACTATTGTTAAAATATGTGAAAAATGTTGTACAGTGAGTAAATTAATATAATATTACATACTGAGGATTCTGTACTGTGAACAAAATTATGATTATATTCAGCCTTTTACTTTCTTTATGAAATTATCATCTTAACGTTCATCTGTTAGCTAGGAAATATGTTCACAGTCGCTTAAGACAATAACTGATAGAGTTTCAGTATTCATTGATAAAATTTATGTACAGATATTCACCTCATACCACAATTTTTTTTCTACCGTATTTTTTTATTATTTCTAGATCACTTTGTCAAGTGGAGAAAGATAATTATCGTGTTATACTCCTACATAAAGAAAATAATAAGATAAAGGATAATCGTAAACAAAAATGTCTTAAAAGTAAATCATTTGATGTTACCAATTCTAAAAATTCATCAGAATCACATATCTCTACAATGAAGATGTCGAAATCAACAGTTAATAATCTAGATAAATTTAACCTCAATATGAGTGAAAACAACCTGATTGCTTGTAAGACAGTTGCATTTGCTTCTGATGAAATAGCCAGTGATGTGAATCGACCGAATAATACTACTGAATTGGATTCAACTCGTGATTCCGGTATATCATCAGTATCAAGAGATATGACAATATCAAATGGTGTGATATATCTGCGTAAAGAGGTTAATCATATGGTTCTTGGACCATGTATTAATCCTGTTTGGAGTGTTTGCGATACTTCAGTTGATCGTGACCAACTGAATGCACCCACATGGTTAGCTGTATGCATTGATGAAATAAAAGTTCTTGTTTATGATTTATGGGTAAGTTTTCATCAGTCTTGACCATATTAAACCTATAATCGATTTGTTTATTTCATATTTAGCTCACAGTGATATAGCATTATTTACTTGATGACGAAGTTTCCAGCATAAATTATCATCGCTCATTATCATTTCAATGTGATCATACTCCTTTCGATATCTAATTTTTATAGTCTAGTCAACTCTTATTCTTTATTTTTTATTGGTAGTAAAAATTTCCCACATCTCTGATATAGGTGTTGTATCATTCCTGTTACATGTGTTGGGTTAAGTGTTGATTCGATGAACCAACATTCAGTATACAATATTTCTCAATATCCATCCAATTAATATTGGAATTAGGTAAAGCAGTTTTATGTCAACAATGCCAATGTATTGCATGCATTACAGTAGACCAGTGTTTTTCTACATTATTCATGTTACTTGAGCAAGATTTTTATGTTCAGCTATTGTAAGTGACCTCGACTGGCTAGTTTCACCTATATATATACTTGACGTGACTCACAGTCATTCCATGGGATTTCATAGATTGTATTATTTTGTTGAATTGGATTTATAGAATGGTTGAGTCAGCCGACCAAGTTTATGAGTGAGTGAGTGAGTTTTTTGGTTTATAGGTCACACCAATTTCAAGTTTGTTGAGGAACCTACATAAAGTTTCTGATGTACCTTCCTCATAGTGTAACACAACGGAGGCTGTGAAATTTCTACATGTGTTGTTGCAAGACAAAATTATAATAGTAATACGAATAAGTTTTATTTTTCAAATTAGATGTTTGTGGTCTACTTGAAACAGATGTGCATTTTGCCGACAGCGGTGGATTGATACTTACCATTAGATTAGTTTATTCGTCTTAGCGCGCAGTGATACGATACTATTTATTTGATAAATTTTTGGACAAAGTGTATTACTAGAAATTACATACCAAAGTAATTACTTAAACAATCAACATCATTTGCTAAAAAATACTCTAAAACCGTGAACAATGTTAAATAAACTATAGGCTAGTAACAAAATTTATTTGTAAATTAATCGAAATGAGTAAGACGATTCTTTAATTATTTGTCATATCGGTTCATAGTGGAACACGGAGCTTCAGCAGCACGCCTCCATTGCACTCTCTTCTCTGCAATCTTTCGAACCTGGCACCACCACTACCCACAAGCTTTCATTTCCTCCCCACGTGATCTCCTCCATGTCATCGTCCGTTCGCACAACCAAATCGTCGTTTCCCCTTCAGTTCCACTCGATGGGCTGGCCTGAACTGGCACGTCATATCCCTAATCGGTATTCTCAGTGTATGTCCAGTCCAATCCAATCCAATCCATCTCCACTTTCTTCTGCATATTTGTTGAGCGATAGGTTCTTGGTTGGTTCGTTGCCAGCCAGCCACAGTTCCTTCTTCCTTACTATTTTTATTCTGGCCATCTGATAGATCTTCGGTATCGAGTGAGTGTAGGCGGCAGCTACTGATACGATATATGTCTGTGGTTTGTTGCAAATGCTTTTTGTAACGCGCCAAGTTCCTGAACCACATAGAAGCACTGACTTGACTGAAATACTTTTGAAAATCCGGATCTTGATCACGCTTTATGCTGAGTGCAGTGCAAAGGATCTGCACATTGATTATTTCAGAGTAATGAAGGCCTGTTTTGCTGTCTTTCCGATTCTGGCTTTGACGTCATCGTCTGTACCCCGCCTGTAGTTGAAACCGTGCTGACTAGATACGTGAAAGAGACTACTTGCTTTAAGTTTCTTCCGTTGATGGTGATTGGAGCTTCTTGTTGTTGTTGTTGTTGTTGTTGGTGGTGGTGGTGGTGGTGGTGGTAGTAGTGGTCGTGTTGGTTGGGTATCATCATCACCTCTGTCTTCTCTACATTCACTTGAAGCCCCGTTTCCGCTGCCCTACCTCTCCTGTCAACTTGCTGGATTTCGCCTGTAGATCTTCGAGTTTGTGTGACATTAGACACAAATCATCATCGGCGAAATCCAAATCTTCTAGCATCTTTTCCCTGATCCAGCATATACCCCTCTTCTCGTCCCTCACGGTTTGCTGCATGATCCAGTCCAGTGCAGTCGACCACAATCAGGAATATCATGAGTGATAGTAAGCAGCCTTGTCTTACTCCTGTCTTCACTTCGAAGGCATCACTGAGCTTTCCTTTGTGAATTACTTGGCATGTGGCATGAGGTTGATAAATGTTTATGGTACTAAAAGCGTAGTGTTGCAGCAGCAGCTGTCAAATTATCTTTGGTCGACGCTATTTTATGTAAGTTATGCACGACAACCATATAGAGAAACAGACAAAATCAACGTAGAACATCGAACAGAAGTGACACCCTTCACAGTAACGTGAACAGAACACAAAGACGGATATCAAAGTCCAAAAAATATATACGAGAACGAATTTAAAATTGAAGGTTAGTCAAATTATTCAAGCTTAAGTCAAAAAGCGAATACATCTGCGCCAATGTGATCGATTTCCAGCCATCATCAGTTATCAATTGTCCAGAATTACTGATTCCTGTCGTCTCGTGGACTCCAACCCTGTAGTCTCCATCTCCCAACACGGTCAGACTAACAGTCAGAGACTTCATGGACTGGTGACACGTCCTTGTTTGGCCTCTCTGAATCTTTTCTAACCTAGTCCAGCTTTTCCTAGAATGCCAAGTCGAGGTAGGCTGTGACTTGCATGCACAACACATATCCAAGGCTACCCCGTCGACGAAGTTCCATAAGCTCATTGACCTCCTTCCCTCCTTTGCTTATTCCCCTACCACGAAACTGCTAAGATTGTGTAATAAGTGATGACCCTAGAGATGCAAAGGATTGTAATCCTGAAGCGTCTCTTGGGCTATAATTTAGTCCTTTCTGATTGAGAGTTACTCGGATTTGGTTAGGTGTTGTTTGGACAAGTTGACCTCATAGTCAATTGCTTCTCCTCCTTCTGATGCTCGTAGTTTCAAAATCTTTGCGAGCTTCTCTTGAACAATCTTCTCGATTCTTTGAGTCATTTGCTTGATTCTTCAGTCGCAATTGACAACGTTGTAAAGTATTCCATTTTGAGTATACTCTTAGCCTTATCTTTTAGTTGTCTATCGTCAGTTGATATTCCGGAATTCACGCAACTTCATCGAAAGATGTTTGCATAATTTGTCGTCAACCAAAAAGTAATCCTCCAAAGCCAAAAACCGGATTGTCTTACTCCATGTGGAGAACTTCTTTGAGATCACGAGTGGTCTGCTGAAGGTTCTTAAAATCGCCGTAGTTCACAAGCCCACAAAATTTTCTCACTATTTGTTACACATCATAACAAAACCTAGCCAAACATTGCCTACAAAATAAACTGCAGAAACCGGGAAAAACACTACATCAGACAGAGTGAACGCCTTCTTCATATCCATCTATATTAACACTAACTAGCAGGGAAGCATCATGACATATCTTCAGCTTTACCAATGCATACGGACAACTGTGAACATGAATTTGAATGGGAAATTGTGAAGATCCTAGATTAAGGTAGATACAGAGAATGTCGGAGAATGTATAGAAACTTGATATTCAGATCGGTCAGCATTAAACAGACATGTTAAGATTGACCCAATCTATCAACTAAGAAGAAACTATAGGATCAAATTTCATGTCATCAGGATAACCAATCGAAATAAATACGCAGAGAGTGATAAGACCTTGGTAGAAACAACCAATCACACACAAGGCCATCAGGACAGGCTACTAAACAAATCGCCAAGAAAACCATGTAGCTCAATTTTTCTAAAGTTTGTGCTGATGTTGTCTAAAATGATCACGATTAAATCATCTACCTCAGCATCCCAAAAGACTACAGCATAATGAGAGGAACATGAGGCTGTAATATGAAAATAGAGGACAATATTTTAGTTCATTTAGCACTCAGTAATCAGTTCATGCATCAATTTCCGCATAGAACACATGGAAAATATAATAACCTTTCAGCAGCATTCCAAAGCACTATAAAACTTTAACTATTTCAGGGAATAGCAACAGTTGGCAGAAAATAGACAACTGAATTGAGTATTTTTATTGGGAAATATCTTATGTCAGTGGTTCGGAGACACCTTTGTTTATGATGTCACGAAGAATTACCAAATGCATTTAGTATTTATTACCTAAATTAAACTGGACTTATTTTAACTAAACATCTACACCTAAGTTCCTTGCTTGCTGAGACTTTTTAGCAAAGTGTATCTACAGTTTCAGAAGAACCGATGTCCCTTAAGAGATTGAAACCCTCATCATTCAATGTTGTAATCAGTGATCTTACAGGTGAGTTATATGGGTCACAATATAAAAAAAAGTAGATATCAGTACTTTTGAGGTCAGAGATACGTTTTACTGACAAATTAACACTGATGTTTAAGGACAGGTGATAAACTGAGAGGAAGGAGAGAGGAGTGATAGCTTTAAAAGTCGAAATTCTAATAAGAAGTATAATGTACAAGTCTCACAAAAACAAAGTATTGCGTAAAGCCATATCAGAAAGGACGGGAGGAACAATATACTCACAGAATAGCAGTCAACTATCTACCTCAAACTCAACTTAATCGACTTTGAAAAGACATTCGACGGCGTCTACCGAGAAGTAATTTGACAGCTGCTGCTGCAACACTACGCTTTTAGTACCACAAACATTTATCAACCACATGCAACATGCCAAGTAATTCACAATGGAAAGCTCAGTGATGCCTTCGAAGTGAAGACAGGAGTAAGACAAGGCTGCTTACTATCACTCATGATATTCCTGATTGTGGTCGACTGCACTGGACTGGATCATGCAGCAAACCGTGAGGGACGAGAAGAGGGGTATATGTTGGATCAGGGAAAAGAGGCTAGAAGATTTGGATTTCGCCGATGATGATTTGTGTCTAACGTCACACAAACTCGAAGATCTACAGGTGAAATCCAGCAAGTTGACAGGAGAGGTAGGGCAGCGGAAACGGGGCTTCAAGTGAATGTAGA